CGGCCACCTTGGCTCACAGGCAATGTATAGACCTCTCATAGCCATGCACAAGGAAAATATGGCACAGAAGCTACACGATGGGGAGTCTTCTGAAGAGGAAGAGATTTTCAGTAAGGATGCAAGGTAAATGATTGGGGACAACTTAAAATTCTCATCTAAAATGAGGAAAGAATGAAAAATTTAATTGTTCCCTTCAAGAGTAGAAGCCTCAGCATTTTTCTTCTTATCCCAGGGCACCCAGAGACGGCACAGCAGAGGTGGTTCTGACCACAGGGCCAGGAGAGCCAGACAAGGAAAGTGAGGCAGCACAGGAGAGTGATGGGGTGTGAGCCACGTTCCCCCACAGGCCGCCTGCAAACTTTCTTTTCAAATGTTGTCTTCTCAGCATAGCTAATAAAATGCTTGTTTTTCTCCTATTAAGATGTACAAATTCACAACCAATTCTAGCCATGTGGTGAGGACTTAAAATGTAAATAGTTGAATATTTATAAGCAAAGAACAAGGGCCACAGGCAGGAGAAAGCAGGGCTGAGGCTAGAATCCCTCCCAGCAGGCAGTGCTTCTGCGAGGGGTGACGTGGGCACAGGAGGATGATTAAAAGGATGAAGAAGGGCTTCTCTCCCTCGTTTCCCCAGTACAGTCAGTCCCTGGGAACCGGGAAGCGTGTCGTGCGCTGGGGGCAGGATCGTGCAGTCACAGCACAGCCGGCGCCTGCGTCCCCCCTGCTCTGGCCAGCGGCGGCTACTCACAGCCCAGCTGCCCCTGCCGGCGGGGGCCCCGCTCACAGGGGCTGGGGCGGCCAGAAGGTTTGCGTCCCTGGGCTGCCTCCACCCTGAGGCCAAGGCCTGGCTTTTCTCCGAAGCTCTCAGACTCGTGTACAGATGTGTTTCCCGTCATGGTAGGGGATTCTCCACCCTTTCAAGCTGGTGGAAAATTCACATTGAGTTTTTTCTTCTCTAAAAAACCCCCAGCCCTTGGAGAGCTAGCTGGAGGGACAGGGTAAAGAATGTGTGAGAGCAGCCATTGCCCAAGGTGGCCATCCCCAGGCCTCCCCTGGGCTGCCCTGGCCTCTCCTGTCCCCGCTGAGGGTCAGCCACGTGCTGCTCAGCTCCCTCCAGCTCAGCCCCGCACCAAACCTCCCCACTTCCTGCCTCACCCAGCACAGGCCTGTGGCTGCGTGATTTCAAG